AACCGATCTTGATCAGAAGTCGAATTGGAACCCATCAGGGAACGAACGGACTGATACGCAGCGCAATGCGCAATTGAGAAAAAATCCACTCGGTTTGGGCTGCTGGATCTGTGTTCTCTTCTACTCCAAAGCTTCCATGGTTTTGCCACATATCACACAACATTGGGTAGGTGCGTTCAACATACACTGATGATGAGGCACCACAATTTGGGAGGAAGCCAAGAATTCAAGTTAAGTCACGTATTTGCTTTATGCACCATTAAATCAAATTAGCAACCTACGCATTAACCAACTCGTCCTCGCGCCCATTCTCTTAGCATAGTTTGAATCACACAAGTCGTTGCTTACCATCACGGGGCGTCTGGCAGTTTACAAAACTACACCTTCTCCCAAAACGCTTTAGCGTCGATCCACAATTATTTACCCTTGACCCACATTCCTTTAGCCTTGACCCGTAGTCTTTTAGCCTCGACGAACAAGCTTTAGCCTCGTGCCGCTGTAAGTGAGTCAGATCAAAAGGTATCGGAATACGCTCTGAGGTCATCGAATGCTAGAACATTTTATTTCCAACAAATGCTGATGCTGCAATTTTGGGCTAAGAAATAATATGTGGTGGTCGCATACTGCACCATATATACATATTGATTGAATAAGGTTTAACCGATATGCCCGTATCGTCAAACCATTTGGCACACCTCGCACAGCTTCAGTGGTTCCGTATAACTTGCGATACTCCTGTGATTAAAAATCTCAAATGTAACACAAACGGTACATTGTTTTGCATTCACAAGCCCCGACATGAATCAAAAGTGTTACCACAAAAAGCGAACTGTTCGGTGCCGTATCTTCACTCAAAGTGAAATCTATTCTTTAGAGGTGGACACATCAACAGTCCCAGAATAATGAGCACCGTTCACAAAGGCCCCTTCCCCTTTAGTACATCTCTTCCCACCAAACTTTAACCAAAACCTGCATTTGATTCGTCGTTGATTCGGGGCCATGAAAGCACCACGATAGGCGACAGTAATACTTGTCGCACCTCACCTACCGTTGAACGAGAACGTTAAATAGGATGGACAGGAAAAGCCCTATCGTTTCACTGGCGCAGAACATCGACAGAGAGTAATTTAATGTACGCGCAGATGTGATCATTCGAAAAAATTAACCAAACACCTCGGTATTGAGATCAGAACAGATCGTACTACCGCAGCCACATATCGGGAAATAACACTCAAATAGGAATCTAATAAGGCGAAGTTCAACGACAATTTCACAAATGGGTAAGGTAGGTTTTCAATCCTTTAAGTCACTTAGTATTTGAAAATGGTTCATTGAAGACACTAAAGCCATTCAAGATATGCCAAATGGTTTGATGATATGGGCACTTTGTTTAGCTCTTTTCCAATCAATATGTGCTACTGTATTTGATGGCATTACGACGATCAACTGCGCGCTATGTGAAAGCCGCAGCCCGATTCTTAACCCATTTTTTGAGACATCAATATTTGTAGAAAACGAAATTCTTCAACATTCAATGATCTGAGAATATTCCGAAACGTTTTGATTTGACCCGTCCACATCGGTATGACTAAGGTCCGTGCGTCGAGGTGAAAGAACTACGGATAGTGGCTGAATCATTGCGGGTTCTGACTAAAGCTTGATGGGAAAAGGTGTGGTTTTTTTGCCTTGTGGAGGGGGTGATTAGAGTGAACAAACCTCATTCGCGTGCAAGAATATCACCATTTAGCAGTCCCGTATTTCCGTATTGAAGTCAATGCATCTGGTCCGACATGTGAACATTTTGATTGAACAAGCGCGGTTAGAACGGAGTCAGAGGCGACTGTGACAGCGAGCAACCCATCCTAGTTGCGTGACGGTTGAGGGTGCCGGAGAACAAATTTGCGAGGAGACATTATATATGTTATTGGTATTGAATGAGATGAACCTATGATCGAATTTATCTGGGATTCGAACTCGTGCGCGACGGGTTATTATTCCGGTACTATAACCACTTGGGTTATTCCAGCTGGATCATTCGGGGATTAGTAAGAATATGTCAAACAGGAATCATCTGTTGTTAATGTGAAAAGACTAACTGTTCGTTTCTTCCGAGGTTTTATAAATTACAATTAAATATCAATCTTTGCTTAGTTTGCAACTGTTTAGTTTTTTACTCATGTTGTTATTGTGTTCACCATCGATCGCATCAATCACATCTATGAGATGATCCGTATCGCTCGGGATCAGTATTGTTGCATACCATTTAAAAATTCCGTACTCCTTCAGACTTTGGAGCACCCATATCCTCAACACGAGCGAAAAAACGTAATAGTTATATCCGTGTAATGTAAATGATATCTTTTTGATGTTCTCAACACGTAGTGTGCACATGTTAATTCACTGTGCAGCTGTGCAGAGGGTAACCAGTTGTGACTTCATAAAACTGCAGCTCTTTTCATCAACAATACATACGAATGACAGAATAGAAGTTTAAAGATAATTACTTATTTCAAATGCGCATTCATCGTGTATATAGCAAACAAAGCATGAACAGAAAAGCTAGGAAACACTGGACAGCTGTTTCGACCTGGTTGCATCTCATCAACAGTGTGAATTCACCAATCCAACTGGGAATTGAACCCGGGACCTCACAGATGGAACCCAACCATGCTATACACCCAACCGCTGGGCAGCTGATCAGACCGTTTTTCATGTTTCATTTACACAACCCACATTTGCGAGCTTGTTGCAGGCCACAGATCTCGCTCATTTCAGCACTAGTCTCAGGGTTATTACTCGGTTGGAAACATTCACAACCTGACTACTTATTTCAATTGAGTAATGGAGAATTTAGTTTAACTTCAAGGTGAATTTGTTGTGTGTATAGCGAATGAAGCGTCCTGCCTATGAGGTTCCGGGTTTTATCCCCAGTTGAGTCGATGGATTCCCACTGTTGATGAGACTTAACCAGGTCTAAACAGTTGTCCAGTAGTGCTTCCTTGCTTTCAGTTCACGCTTAATTTGCTTTATAGACGACGAATTCCAATTTGAAATTTAACTAAATCCTCCATTAGTCACTTGAAATGAATTAATTGTTTCTAGTGCTTCGTAATTGCTCGCAGAACAGATCATACGAGGGTTTGACCAGGGTGGGAAGAGCATTTTACGCCTGGGTTAAAATGGGATTTTGGTGTTTGCCGAAAGAGAGACAAACGGTGCATCAGATGGCCAGTAGTCTGTTTGTCGTAATCGGGCGAAAGCGAATATGGTCGTGATGATGTTGGTGATCAAATGGAGGTCAGGATATGGCNATGGCTAAGTTTTCCGAAATCTGGCTGTCTATAGAGGTAGTTAATGTGTTCATGTCATACAATGGTATA